TTCATTAAATTCTTCTGTATCTGCCAATTCCTTTTGATACAATGAATCAGTATATTCCTTCAATCTTCTTTTAATACTTCCTGGATCATTTAATATTCTGCCTAAAGCATCCCTGATTATAGCAACTCTAGGTTTGAATTAGTTCTTCAGTTCCTTGAGCTTAAGAAATGCTGAACGAGTTCGGCCCTTTAGATTTTCCGACTCTAACTCCTCGCACATTTCATTGTAATATTTTGCTTTGTCATTCCGAGCTGCCTTTTGGAATCTTCTGTTCAGCTCTTTTGTATCTTGAATTCTTCCTTGTGCTTTGGCTTCTCTGCGCTCCAGTGCAACCTTCAGAGTTTCTTCTGACACCCATTTTGGTCTTTTCTTCCTCTTCTGTCTTTGTAATGACCGTTTGCACTCTTCCTGGATGATATATTTGACATCCCCCCACAACTCATCTGGTCTTCGCTCATTAGTGTTCAAGGCCTCAAACCTGTTCCTGAGATCATTCTGAAATTCAGGTGGGATGAAATCAAAGTCATATTTTGGCTCCTGTAGATTTGGTTTAATTTTCCTCAGCTTCAGCTTGAACTTGCATATGAGTAATTGGTGGTCTGTTCCACAATCAGCCCCCCGCCTAGTTTTCACAGCTGATATTGAGCTTCTCCAGTGGTTTTTTTCCGCAGATGTAATCGATCTGATTCCTATGTATACCATCAGGTGAAATCCATGTGTATGACCTGCGTTTATGTCTCTTATTAAACGTATTTGCAATGAATAAGTCATTGATTGTGCAAAATTCAATCATTCTATCTCCAGCTTCATTTCTGTCACCAAGCCCATGTTTTCCAACTACTGATTCTTCTTCTCTGTTCCCGACTTTTGCATTCCAGTCACCCATTATTATCAATGCATCTTGATTGCATGTTCAATCTAGCTCTGCCTGTAAGAGTTGGCAGAAATCATCTATTTCTTCTTCTTTGGCTCTGGTTGTTGGTGCATATATCTGGTGGTATTCACTGGACTTCCTTGTAAGCGTATGGATATAATCCTATCACTCACAATGTTGTACTCAAGATGGATCTAGAAATTTCTTTTTTTACTATGAAGGCAACCCCATTTTTCCTCATCTTTTCATCTCTGGAGTAACGTATCATATGACCATCTGACTCAAAATGCCCCATGCCAGTCCATCTCATCTCTCCAATGCCTAATATGTCAATATTTATGTGTTCCATTTCTTTCTTAACAATTTATAATTTTCCTACAGTCATGGTTCTCACATTCCATGTTCCAGTCACTAGGGTCTGCATACAACTGTTCCTCTTCCTTTGTATTTCCATACTTGAAAGTTCTACCTAGGTTGCCCTTTCTGTTAGTCTATGTGCGTTCTGTTGTACAAAGGGTTTTCGGAGGCCTGCTATTGCAGAAGTGGATGTCCAATCCTTCTTCCTAGTCTGTCTTAATCTGAATGTTCAGATTTAGAGGAGTATCTGACAGATAAGCAATTTGTGGAACAGTGAAACTCCTCATTGTGGAGTTAACCATTAGTTACAGTGTTGACCCTGCTCTTAGCCCAATGCCTTGTCACACTTATTTCCCAGCTCCACCCTCCACCAGGATACCCCTTCACATCTACCAAATCCCTTCAGAAATTATCTTCCATTGTCCAACCCATGATCTGACAGCTTGTATCTGAAGCTTTCTTGTCTTCTGTGATTCCAAACACATCAACTGCTGACAATTTTTTATTATCTGTTTGTTCTATCAACTACTGAAAACCAGTATATTAAAATCTGATTACTCTAGATTTATCTATTTCTCGTTAATGTTTTGTTTTGATTTTATTATTATTTCTTGTTTGATTCAAAGCCATCAAACTGGATCTGACTGACAGAGAAAGAGACTGCCCCTCCTTCTCCAGCAGAGCATCTGGTGGATTCAAACCATGTACCTCTGGGTTTGCATTGCAGCTTCTTGCCACTTGGCCACTAGAGCTCCCTTATTTCTCTTTAATGTTTTGGCAATTTCAGCTTTATGGTAATGTTTTAAAATAGTGTTATAACTGTTATAGTTTAAGTTATGAGTTTGTTGTTGTTGTTATTGTTGTTGTTGTTGATTGCTGTCGAGTCAAGCACGACTCATAGCGACCTTATGAACAAAAGGAATGAATCCTTTCTATAACGATCATCATTTATCAAAGTTCATAGTTTCCAGAGGCATATTGTTTAGCAAGTGGATGCCACTTTTGTTTCCAATGAGTTTAGCCTTTTGAATTTATGAAGCAATCCTCTATCTGCAATATTGATATTTGCTTTGACACTTTGTCTAATGTCAGCAACAGTGATAATAACTTTCTTTTGAAACGTGATTCTACCCTAACTTTCAATCATTCTGTGTTCTTATGTTTTATGTGCACCTCTTGTAAACAGCATGAGCTGGGTTTTGTTTACATTCTAGTACAATAATCATTATTAACTTGGGCATTTCATGTAAGATAGCTAATACTATTACCTGGTATAAAATATAAAAATAATAATATAAAATAAAAATAATAATATAAAAATAATGTTTGTATGTATGTGATACATTCATGACAGCCAACCAGATCTGATAAATATAACTATTAACCCACATGTGCAATTAATTTTTTAAAACAAATGTCTTTTCTCACTTCATGAGAATATTCACACCTTTAAAAATATATTCCAATTAGCCATATCAAACCTTTAGAGGCTTGCTGGTAAGAATTTGTGCCGCCAACTCTAAGGCATGTGGTTCAAATCTACAAGCTACTCTATGGGAGAAAGATCGGCAATCTTCCCTTGTATGATGTTTTGCCTCTGAAAACCTGCTAGAGGGGCAGTTATGAGTGAATTTCAAAATTATTTCCCCCCCGCGCAAAGTCCTTATTTATTGTACCAGATTGAAAAAAAAGATCTTCAGTGTGATGAGTTCACACAGTAACTGTGACACTGGGTTTGAACTGGATAAGGAGAGGCTTCAATCTGCTCAGAGTGGCTATAAGTCATGGTTGCCTCAACAGCCCCTAATAGCAGCAGAACCACCTTCTTGGGTCTGAATCTCCTTGATATCTGTTGATTCCAACTCAATTCTAGAAGACTCCGTGAGTCGGTGTTCACCTGGATCTTGAGTCTTGGAGTTTTCTCAGTGTCTCCTTCAGATCTTTACAATCACTAAATTATATTTCTAAGATTAAATTTTTCACATTTTGAATTTTTATTGATAATTTTAAATCATTAATTTTGTTCATAATAGTAAAAGTTTTTAAATCTGCAAGCAACATTAAGTTTTATTAGTACATGAAAAGTATTTTATATACAAATATATTTTCTGGAAATGTTCTTTGTACATACTTGATAGCAGTCCAGCCCACCACAACCATTCTTTAAGATATGCATGGCCACCCTGACCTGTGAATGAAGAAACACTTCAATTTTTTTGGAAAGATTATCAGGCACATATACATTAAAACTTTTAGTACTGACAGATCTGAAAATTTCAATTAATGACAACAATAAATAAAGCTTTCTGTACAACTGGACAAAGGAATTCCTTTTAAATTTTTATAGCAACCTTAAGAAAGGGTATATAAGAATCATAAGATTATAAAAAAAATTAAATATGTTTGCACTATACTTGGTAAAATTCATTAGATCAATCTTTATATTTGGTTTTCTTGTTTTGTAAACTCAGCTTCAATATACAAAATAAAGGAAAAAAAAAACCAATAAAAAGTATGCCCAACTTTGAATGAATTAGTCTTATACTTCAGTACGGTAAGGCCACTTAAGGACTTATAGATATCACTATGGTCCTTTGTGGACCAGACATAAACTGAACACTGCTCACACTCTGGGGTTTCATTGATGAACATCCTACTATTTTCTTTGGCTTGTCTCTCAAAGTAAGCAAGATACTAGTATTTAAGATATTCTTAAGATTAATTCTTAGGGATCTCTGGTGGCCTAGTGGCAAGAACCTGCACTGCAATACCAGAGGTACATGGTTTGAATCCACCAGATTCTCTCCTGGAGAAGGAAAGGCAATCTCCTTTTGTACCAGTCAGATCTGATTTGACAGCACATACATAAAAATATCAAAATTTTAAAAATTTTTTTTAAAAAGATTAATTCTTGCAGAACATATCCACTATGGATAAATTTGGACTAAGAAAGAGAGATACTACAAATAAGCAGTGGATGCTAATACTTTCTTCTCTGCCAATAAATGTTAATAAAGGCTACTGAGTTAAAACTAATTAGGTTTATACACCGATATGGCACAGAAAGCATAATGAAAGTACTATTTTCATATCAAGTATGTCTTCTTATGAGTCTGAACAAGGGCTAGAAGTAAAACAGAGGCAGAATGGAGCACAACCTAAAACAATCCTGGGATACTAGAAGCTGTCAACAAGTCAGATGAAGGAGTGAGAGTTAGGTTCAGTCATGCCTGGTCTCCCCAGGACCTTGGGACTTTGTCCAGAATTTTCTGGGGCAATAATCTGTAACATGTGAGGTTCACTGCTTCTAGTAAGGAACCTAGTAAGCCAAAGACATTTCCTTTCCTTCCTGCAAGGCTGCAAGCATCATAGAAAATCCCAAAGGCAATGGTCAGAAATCCTACATTTAACAATTTGGAGGAAAATGATTGTTCAACAAATTTCTATCTATCAATGTACCCTTTCTCTTTCTTTGCAGACCTTTAAATTTTGAAAGGTTGGATGCTAATTGAACATTGGTTTACATTTCTGCTTGGGAAGAACAGCTCTCTAGAGCTAAGTAAAGGTGGAAATAGTTAACTTATTTTAACATCTCATTTTTAAATTTTCTTCAAAAATTGTTTTCTGAGTCTCTGTGAACATTTTAAAACTTTTTTTTATTTTTTTTTTCATTTTAAAACTTTTTTACAGTTCAATATTTTATATATATGCTCACGAGGGCTGAGGACATGAACTTCCATAGTTAAAGAATCTGTGTTTTCATATATATACAGACACACACACACACACACACACACACACACACACACACACACAAATGCTACATAAGACACAATCTTACCTGCTCTCATAGAGCCTTTCTTGGCAAGTCTTAAGAGGCCTTTTTTTTTCAGAATGAAACTTCCTCCAATGAAAATGCTGGAGCTCATAGCCAATCCCAGACCAATATAAAAGTCATATTTTCCACGCCCCTGGTTCATGTCGTTTACTACTTATGAAGTTCTTGTGAGCCACATTGATCAGAGAACAGAGGAACTGCTAGTACGAGAGGCAGGATGACACTCTTCAAATCTGAATATTAAGAAATAGAATGACATTTTTAGAGAAAGATCATGATAGTTCTTATACAAGCAAAAATTTTAACTCCATTTGTCACTTTATGAAGAACATTTTTATTAACATAAAATATATACCCTATTTACATGTAACACCAATCTACTTCTTTCACAATGACAAAAGAAGAGATGATATAAAATGTTTGAAATTATTTTATAACATATGATTTTATGTAGTAAAAACTGCTTTCAGTCAGAAATGACTATTGCTGTTGCTACGTGCCATCGAGTACAGTACAACTCATAGTGACTCATACAACTCTGTGCCATTCTCATCACCTGACATACTCGAGCCTATTGCTACTGTCACCGAGTCAATTTATCTCATTGACGTTCTTCCTCTCTTAGCTGATAAAAAAATTGTACTGAATGAAGAATTAGTCATGACAATATACAAATACAGCTTATTTAACAGATTTAGAGACTTTCATGAATAATCTATACAGAGAAACTAAAATTATCTCATCCTTACATTTTCATCTTAAACAAAATATAGATATAAACAAATGATAGTTTATACCTTACTTGTAGGATTTAATGAGGCAAAATTCATTTTATATTATTATTGTCAGCAGTTGACGTGTTTGGAATCACAGAAGCCAAGAAAGCTTCAGATACAAGCTGTCAGATCATGGGTTGGACAATGGAAGATAATTTCTAAGTCGCAAACGACTCGACGGCACATAACAACAACAACAACAATATTATTATTATTATTACTTTCTATTAACTCAGTCTTTAATAAGCAGGTGCTATGTATTTATTTATGTTTGGACACTGTCTGCTCCCAAAGAGCTTTTAGTATTCAGTGGGCAGACAGACAAGATACAATCACAAATGATGAGCAAGAGAAAAATCTACCAGGAAGAGCATGTGTCAGGGATACTTTCTTTCTCTACACCTATTCAATCAGTATGCTGAGCATAGAGCCAGACTCAATAAAGAATATGGCATAAGAATAGAGGAAAATTCATCTGTGTTATGTAGATGACACCATAAGTATACTGTAAGTATATTTATTACACAACTCCTCAAAGTGAGTAGGACATGAAATGCTTGCTATAGAAGATCAAAGCCTTCAATATGGATTACAACTCAACATCAAAAACCCAAAAGTCCTTACCACTGGGTCAATAGGCAACATCATGAAAGATGGAAGGACTGAAACTGTCAATGATATCATCTTGCTTGGATCCTCAGTCCACATCCTTGGCACCAGCAGCCAAAAGATCAGGAGACATATTGCTCTGGGCAAGTCTGCTCCTCTTGGGGAGCTCTCGAAATTACCGAAGAACAAGATGTCAGGCTAAGGTATGCCTAACTCAGGACATGATCTTTTGAATTATTTGCTATGCTTCTGAGAGCTGGAAAATGAGTAAGAATAATAGAATTGCTGGCTTTGAGTTGTGTTGTTGGAGAATACTGAATATCCATCCCATGGACTGCCAGAAGAACTGATTTGTCTTGGAAAAGGTGCAACCAGAGTTCTCCCTGGAAGCAAGGATGGTGAAGTTTTGTCTCTTATTTCAGACATGTTAGGCTCTTCCTTGAAAAGTGACATCATGCTTGGAAAGGCAGAGGATCAGCAAAAGAAAGAAATACTCCCTAAAAGGTGGACTGACACAGTGACTGAAATGGGCAGCCACCAATGACTAGCAATGGGCTAATGTGTATCAGAGATGATAAGGATGGCACAGGATAGGAAAGGATTTAGGTCTGTTGTTATAGGGCTGCTACATCAGGGAAATTACTGAATCCATCTACCTTCCATGGCTCCAGCTAGTCTAGAGATCATAAGTATTCAAAATTCTATTCTGTACTTTTCACCTTTTGCTCAAAATTCTTCTATAGACTCTTTTGATCACAAAATTAGTTATGGTGCCCAGACATCATCCAGTTTTCCTGGTCTTGTGACAAAGGATGGAATGTGCAAATAGCCACACATTCCATATCTTCCTCTTATTTCAGGCTCTTCTTGATCTTCTGTTGCTGTTGTTGAATAGAAACTGAGGTCTGTGCTTTAAATGGCTAAATGCAAGTTATTTAGACCTCAGGAACTATGCAAAGAACTAGAAAATAAAACAGAAGCACTAACAAATTATTAGACTGACTAACTGGAATATCCCATGAAGCCACAATGGTATACCTCTATACCAAGGAACCAAAATGAAGTGTTTGGCTGTACAAATGTACTTTCAACAGTTCCTTCTCCTACCCTTTGGAATTACTTTAAGTGTATTTATTACACAACTTTTGTCAACTTAACTTTTCACAAGTATAACAAGGGTTTTATTTATTTATTTATTATTTGTGTGTGTGTGTGTGTGTGTGTGTGTGTACCGTCAAATCGGATCTGACTGGTACAGGAGGAGATTGTTCCTCCTTCTCCAGCAAAGCTTCTGGTGGATTTGAACTGCACTCCTCTGGGATTACAGTGCAGCTTCTTGTCAAAAAGGTTTTTTTAACACTTGTAACTTAAGAAGGAGTTCTGGTGCAAGCTGATCTGCAAGTTGTCGGTAGTTTGAATCTGAGAGGAAAAGATTGGCTATCTCCTCCCATTGTGGTTTAAAACCATGCCAACATGATAGAGGGTCACTAGGAGTTAGAATTGACCCAAGGGTGAGAAGTTTAAGCTTGAACTGACAATTAATTTACTGATAGCAGTTAAAACAATCAGCTACAAAGCTATCCTAAATTTGATTTTCCATCACTGTTTACATCCTTCCCTCCTCCCTGATAAACCACTGATAAACTTTGATCTCTACACATTTTACTTGCCTTTTATGTAACACCATTTTGTTCTTTTGTGATCAGACTTATTTCACTGAGCATAATAATGTCTTGAAGCTCCATCAATACTGAAGCATGATATCAAAGCTGACTGTTGATGCTAGGTGCCAACCAGCTGACTATGAACAAATGATTTGAACTCTGCCCTATCCTAACCATCTCTGAGATGCATAATGTATCAATTCTCCTTGTTGTGGGGGGGGGGGTCTTCTCTTTCTCTGACCATCCACCTTTCCCAGCATGATGCCTATTCCCAAGAAACAGCCTCTCCTGACAACAAACCCAAAGTATAAGAGGCAAAGATTTATCATCCTTACCCCTAAGGAGCACCATGGGTGTACTTCTTCCAATTTGTTTGATCTTTTGGCAACCCATGCAATACTCAGTACATGCAATTTTCCAATACTACAGCTAAAAGACATCAATTCTTCTTCTTCTTCTTTTTTTTTTTTTTACATTTTATTACTTTTTGTGTATACCATCAAACTGGATCTGAATGGTACAGGAGGAGATTGCCCCTCCTTCTCCAGTCGAGCATCTGGTAGATTTGAACCACGTACTTCTGGGATTTCAGTGCACCTTCTTGCCACTAGGCCACCAGAGCTCCCTGACATCAATTCTTCTAAAATCCTTATTATACACAATTTTCAGATTCCTAGGAGGTAAATGAAAAGAATATGCCTAAGGTGTGCCTGGTGCATTTGATCTACGCCATGGTATTCACAATTACTTGCTATTCATCAGAGGGCTGGACAAAGGATGACAGAATAATTAATGCCTTTGAATTGTGATGTTGGAGAAACGTCATGAACATATCACAGATTGCCAAAAAAACAAGTAGGTCTGTCTTTGGAGAAGGATACCATGTTCGGAAGGGTAGATGGACAGCACAGAAGAGGAAGACCCAAGTTGAGATGGATTGATACAGTAACTGGAGTAACTGGGTAGGTGTATCAAGAGTCAGGACAGGGCAGGCTTCAGAGCTGTTGTACTTAGGGTCACTATGAGATGCAGTCAATTCAACAGTACATACAACAAATTGGCTTGAGACAGGTGCCTTAATCGTTAGAATGATATCACTGTTCTTTAACACTTTAGAGAAGACCTTGACAGAATATTTTCCCAATTCAACATGTCTTCTGATTTCTTCACTGCTATTACTATCTATGGGTATTGATCTGAATCCCAATAAAATGACATAATTGACAACTTGAGTGTCTTCATCTATCATATATTGCCTATTGGTCCAGTGGTGAGGATTTTTGTTTCTAAATGTTGAGATGCAATTCATAATGAAGGCTGTTGTCTTTGGTCTTTTGCAGCAAGTATTCCAAGTCTCTTTTACTTTTAGCTAGCAAGGTTGTGACAAATGCATAACACAGAGTGTTGGTGAGTCACCTTCCAATACAGATAGCACATTCTTCTTCACATAGTCTGGTCTTGAATGTTTTGCTCAGTATGTAGATTGAGTATGTACAGAGAAAGGATACAACTCTGATACACACCATTCTTGATTTTAAACCATACAATGTTCCATTCTTCTGTTCCAACATCTGCTTCCTAGTCATCTTGTTGTTAGGTGCTGTGAAGTCGAGTACGACCCATTGTGACCCTATAAATAACAAACCTCAACCTGATCTTGTCCTGTATCACTCTTCCAGACACATTAGAGCCAATTGCAGCAGTCACCTTGTAAATTCACCCGGGCAAGAGTCTTCCACTCCTTTACCAACCTTTCTAAGCATCATGTCCCTCGAATGCCCAAAGTACGTGAGGGGAAGTCTCATAATCTTTGCCTCCAAAGAACACTCTGACTGCATGTTCTCCAAGACATACTTGTTTGTTCTTTGGCGGTCCATGGGTCCATTTCATGGACTGCTTTTTGGACTATGTATAGGTTTTACATGAGTGCAATTAAATATTTTGGGATTCCCATTTTTCTCTTTGAGTTTTTCCTCAAGAAAGGAATGTTACAAAACTATGAGATATCATGTCACCCCAGTCAGAATAGCAAAATTTAACAGAACAGCAAGGAACAAATGCTGGCAAGGTTGTGGAGAAACTGGAACCCTTATTCACTCTTGGTGGAAGTATAAAATGGTGCAACCACTGTGGAAAAT